CTTTGTTCCCAATTTATGACTATATGTCAGTTTCTTCCTATTGCTTTTCTGAGTATTTGAAACTTTCTGTAAATATTGACGAATAAAAAAAATAATGTAATGAATCATTTTTTCTAATCAGTAATATCCATTTATAATAACAAAAATTGTCTAAAATAATATAGTACCTCAAACTTTGTTGTCTCCCAAAAATCGCACAACCAAAGCCAATCGTCACGACGATCACCGAGTTTTTCGTATATATTCTGTCTGGCTAGTGTCACACCACCTCCTTCTTTCCATTTTAAATAATATTTATGAGCATTTGAACGAAAAGATGAATACTGTTTGGCAAAAGACTTCCAAATGCATTGAACAACATGAGGCTCCTCCAGTTCATAACTGAGCTTATTCTTTTTGACATTTAGAAAATTTTAAACATTTGAATTAGGTACTATGACATTTGAATCTCGGTTGCATGTTTGGAGCTATGCTTCCCAACGGGTCTGTTTATTCCTTTAGGAATAACAATTTTTGGCTTCTCCCCCCCAGATTTGCGTTTATACTTTTGGGTATTTAACCCCCTAGTCAGTCCACGACCTCGTTTTTGACCCACTAATCCATAATTAACATTAGTTAATAAAAGATAAATCAATAGTTAATATACCAATACAGATTAGAAAAAAGAAAAAAATAGTATGTTTAACATTACCTTTTATGGCATCTGCTTTATCAACCGTATCTATAAATGATTCTACAATTAGTTTTTTAAAATATAAGTTAGAAGTAAAAATAATTAAAAATAAAATATACAACTTAACAAAACTTGTAACAGCAATTCCAGTGTGATCATTCGAAGCATTAGTCACATGTTGTACGTGAAGGTCTTCTGTATGTACTCTAGCTGTAAATATTGATTACATTTACATGCGTTAAGGAAATATATAAATTTATACTATTTAATAAACAAAGTTTACAAAAATAAACTCAATCATAGAAAGAAAATACCTTTATCGCTAGTTTTTGGGTTTGTTGCCGATTGTCCCGTCAAAGAGTTTGAAATACTTGATTTAGTCGGTGGTACAAACACTCTCTTATTTCTACTTGAAACTACAATGTTCAAAGTACAAAATATTAACTTAAATTAACTTTTTATATATAACTGCAAATAAATTAAAATAACATGTTAATATCATTACCATTTAAATTTCGAAGAGACGAATTCCCAGTTGGCTCATTAGCTATACCATTTGCAGTTAAAGCATTTGCTTACTCCTTCTTACGCTTCAAATTTCCGGTATTGTTTGTTGCTGCCATTGCTGTTAATAACTCCATTTTACGTTTATGATTTGTACTCATTATTAGACTTGAGATCTGAAAAGAATTAAGATATTGATATCAATAAAAGAGAAACATAAAAAATATTTCATACAATTCAATACTAATTAAATATATACTAATATAGCTATAAGGCTTAATTTGTACAAATATTGATCTCTGTTAATTTTGATTGTATGAATAAGTGCAACATAATTTTTTTTTTCATAACACGCCATCTCCATCACAGATAATAGAAAAAAAATCAAGAGTCATTTTACCAATATAACATGCAAATGCAAACCAATTCATATGATAAATCCAATTATCCGGTAAAATGAAAACCACAATAACATAATATGGATTTGAAAGAACAGGACATATTAAAAACAATTTCAAAAAAACTTCCAACTATTATAATCCAACAAGATTTTGTATGTTATGGGTTATTCCAATAGTTTAGAATACTCTAATGAGTCTCCTTGTTGTCGGTTCCTTAGACAATTCAAGACAAATAATGAAATAAACAGGACTACATTAGATGAAGTAAATTTACCAGTAAAAATTCCTCTGTTTATTTCTCTTGTTCTGTTTCTAGATCTGTTTCTCGGTGATTTAATGTAATATGAAAGGTCAAGGGAATGAAAGGGAGATATATATTTTGGGAGTAGATCACGATGGATTCTATCGTGGGAAACTTGGAGAGGTGGATTTACCTTATCAACTATTATATTACCGCCAAATCTCTTCTTTGGCGCCAAAAAATTTTTTTTTTACTAATTTGTCTTTAGGTTGTATAAACCAAAAAAAAAAATAAAAAAAATTAGGGTCAATGGGCAAAAAATCCGGTTCAACCGGAAAAACCGGTTAACGAACCGGGTTTTAGCCTAAAATGGCGGTAGGTTGCCGGATTTGGGTGGGGGGTCGCCGCGGTGGTCCAATCTGGGCTGGGGATTTTTGTGGGTGGTCGGATATGTTTGTTATGTGACCAAATTGGAGTTGTGGATGGCTAGATCAATGGACTGAAAGGGGGAAAAAGAAAACTGAGAAAGTAAATAGAAGAAGTACCGTTACGTGAAGATTGATGAAAAATGAAAAGAAATATGTGGAAGATGATGTTCTCTGAAAATGGAGAGAAATGAGGTGAAAAAAAGCAACAGTGGAAAAAGTAAAAAAGAACAAAGAAGAAGAAACGAAGGGGTGGGGTGGGGTGGGGCCAGTGAAGATAGTAATGGGGAGAGGAAAATAAAAAAGTAGTGCATATTAAAATTAAATGAGACATATTAGTTAAAAAAAATTATATTATAAATGTTGGATCTGATTTTAAGGTGAATAAATGATATAAAGTACAAAGAATACTATTTTATATTTTTAAAAAAAAATTAACTATTAAAAAAAATGAAAAAACCCGAGTCGAACCCGGTTAAACCGGTCCATTCGTGACCCGAATACCTATCCAGTTTTATAACCGGTCCAGTTCTGAAAACATTGAGAAATTGGTGAAATTTTTTAGATGGCCGCCAATTGTTAATTTTTCGATTTCTCTCATTTTTCTTCTTTAACTACATATACATGAGAAAATTGTTGAATTCCTGAACATAATAAATAATTTAATTATTTTGTGTAAAAAAATAGTTGATTATGATTAACCAGCCGAGCTCGAGTCCAATTTTTCAAGCTCGAGCTCGAGCCGAAGCTCATTTTGTTTTTTTTCATTATTATTTTTTTATTATTAAAAATTATTTATATTATAATAAAATAAATTACAAAGCTAATAATGAACCGTAATTATATTTTCTTAATTTTTATATGTTCTTTTTATATTATATTTATAATATAATACATTATAAAATACAAAATAATATATAAAAAATAGAAAAAAGGGTCGCGAGTCGGCTCGTGAGTTCATGAACAACTAAGAAAAGGCTGGAGTTTGAAAAACTCAAGTTCGAGTTCAAGCCTTTTTTCGAGCTGGCTTATCGAGTTCACGAGTCGGCTCAGCTCGTTTACCACGCCATATACTTCATATTACTATATATTATTTATATTTATAATAAAAAAAAAATAATATTGAAATTAAAAAGAGCTCAGAAGTCTGCTTGTGAGCTCACGAACAGCTAGAAAATCTGGAGCTTGAAGAACTAGTGCTCGAGTTCAAGCTAACCTCGAGCCGACTCATCATGGCACGTGCCGGCTCAACTCATTTGCACTTCGATCTAATAACCAATAAAAATTATAAAGCTAATACATTAAAATGGTGTATGACTATAACCATATTTTAATCCTATTACTAATCGAGCCAACTAATTCATGTCACGTGCCGACTCTAGACCTGGCCACGGTTCGGTCCGGTTCCGATTTTGGAGGAACCGGAACCGAACCGAAAAAATCCGGTTCCTTGCGATTCGGTTCCTGGTTAGAACTGTAGAACAATCCGGTTCTTAATAAATTTTTTTTTATTATATATATATATATATATATATATATATATATATATATATATATAACTTAAAAAATACTTTTAAAAACTTAAATAAACTTTTAAAAATAGTTCTTTTTTTTTAAATACGTAAAATATTTTTGTTTATATATATATACACACGCACCGAATCGAAACCGGTTTGACCGGAACCGGAACCGGAACCGAAAAAACCCGTTCGGTTCCAGTTTCTCATTTTCTGAACTGAGAACCGACGGTTAGGAACCGAGCACCAATAAAAATTGCGATACTAATTTTTAGTTGACATAATAAAAAGTTTGATAATAAATTAAAATGTATTATAATTCTGTGTTTTTTTTTTAAATATTAATAATACTAATATATTGATATTTTCTTATTGATATAGGTAACATTATATTATTTAAGTTAATTAGTATATTTTTTTCTGGAGATATTTTGAGTGCCTAATAAAAATTACTTCAATAAAACTTTCTTTTTTGTTTTATAGAAAAAAAGAATGAAAAATCGTGTTAATAACCTAGCCAACAAAAGGCCGCATTGAAGATTGCACCAGACTTTGCTTCTTTAAGAAAAAAAGAGACTTGGCTTCTTCACCACAACAACACATCACCGTACACGGCCAATACCCCCAATTTTCTTAAAATCAAATTTCGCATCCAATTCCAGAATACAACAGCGCCCATCATCGTTTAACATCCCAACACGGACACAAGTAATTTACACGATCTGGAGACACAAGCATCAGCAGTTGGTCGACATTGGTAGAGGTGGTTCGGTGAAAATAGCGACATTAACTTTGGAGTCACACACTATTTCGGCGTACGGGTACGAATAATTAATTTGCAAGGATTCGTTTGGTGAATAGTTGGATTAAGAATTTGTTTATTTTTTGTCTTTAGTTGTTATCAGATTTCGATAGATGGAAATTGGGGCTTTAATTTTCTTCTGCCAAAAATCAGAACACGAAATCATTACTTCGGTTTCTAATAATCCAGAAACCAAAATACAAATCTCAATATGCTATGTTAACTCAATTAGTAATCTCAATGTTTTTTCTTACTTTTTTCTTTATAACAAGAGTCGTGATGTGCCTTATTTTGAAAAATTCAGTCTGCATTATTTACATCAATCCTTACACACATTGTAATAGTTTGTGATTAAAATGTAATTGATAATTGAAATTTAAGATTAACTGATAGTATGTTTACATATAATGAATTACAAAAAGTGTATTTAATTTTTCACTAATAACTGTGTTGTTTCAATGTTTCCAGGGCGGAGAAACACATCTTAAAGACATTCCTAATGGTATGCTTTCTTTTTGTTTTTTTTAACCCACACTTGACTATGCCTTTGGTTTTGGAAAAATAAATGGAAAGCCTTCAATCAATTATTGTTTCTACTAAGATGGTTGTTCTGAAACTTACGTGCACTTGTGCTATAGTCATGGTACTTTGAATAATAATTATATGAGAATTGAGATTATTGGTTATATCTACCAAAAGGAGAATTGATAAGGTTCTATCAATTACTGTGAGTTTACTCATGTATTTTAATTGTTACAGGACAAAGAAACATTTTGTTCTTTAATATAAAATTCTATAGATATTTAGTAGCATTAAATTGGAAACATTTTCATTTTATTTTGATAGAAAGTGTTGTCTTACAAATCTCTACTCTTAGCCTTTTGTCAGTTGTACCTGACTCTAATTTAATTAGTTGTATTTCCTATGCTTCAAGTTTTTCCTGTATGGTCGGTTAGCATGTATATTTGATGAGGTTGATCTATTAATTTCTACCATGATTTATAAATAGCATGTGAAAACTTAAAACTGCATCATATATGATTTCGTGTAGCTTCTTTGTCGGAATTGGTATAGGGTCTGTGATATTAGATGATGTAATAAGATTTAGCACACACCTTCTTTTTGATAAAATGAGCTGTTTTAATGTGATTTTTTGCAGTGGCTTTCAAGTTGTCGAAGAGAAAAGTTGATGGGAATCTGGAGCTTCTTCATACAATTCTTTTTGGCAACAAAGCAAAGGTTTATTATTTACCTTTATATATTTAAAAATTGTGCTGCTTATCAATCTTATAATGGCTTCACGAAAATTTGATATAGGTGGGAGAAACTCTTTTAAAGTAGCACAAGAAGAATTTACTAAAGCTGGACTTCTCTTTAAAACTCCTTTAGCATAAGTACTGGTGACATCATCTTTTATACTTTTCCCTCTTTCTGGGTCCCACGAACTTCTTCGAGATTTACACTTACTTTTTTCGCAAAATTACGACCAACGGGAGTGGATAGAACCGATCCGTCATTCTTTGTTTTCGAATCGACAATGTGTATTCTTTTTATATTTAAATCATGTGCTTTAGTAATTTTTGGAGCTTCGATCATTTTAGTTCTTTGTGTTTATCAAACTCCATGAAGAATGATGTGGATGTTGACAATTAGTGTTCGTTTTTTATTGTATATTTATTATCAACCAGTTCAAATTGTTTTGCAACCATATTTTGGTGTTTGATATATATAGATTAGCAACCATGTCTACATTATTGCAACTAATTACATGGTTCTTAAATAAATATTATGTAGTAACCAAATGGATGTGGCCACTAAATTATAATTATAGCAACCGTGTTAGTAGTATATTGCTACCAACTTATGGATTGCTAAATAAATGTTATATACCTACCAAAAGAATAGGTCACTAAACGTTAAATTATTGAGACCATACTAAGAATATATTGCCACCAATTTCGTGGTAGATAAATAAATACTATTTATCCACCAATTATATTGGTCACTAAATGTAAAATTACAGCGACAGTGCTAATATTATATTGGCACCAAGTTCTTGGTTGCTAAATAACTATCATTTATCCACCAAATAGATTGGTCGCTAAATATAAAATTACAGCGACCATGCTAATATTATACTACAACCAAATTCGTGGTTATTAATTAATTATTATATACCAACAAAATTGATTGGTCACTAAATGTACAATTACAGCGATCATGCTAATATTATATTGGCACCAATTTCTTGGTTGCTAAATAAATATTATTTATCCACCAAATAGATTGGTCACTAAATATATCATTATAGCAACCATGTTATGATTATGTTGCCATCAATGTTTTGGTCGCTACAGAAATATTATACTGCAACCAAGATGATTGGCGACTAAATGTATATGTATAGCAACCATATCAATATTATAGAGACCATATTTTTTTAGATTAGCGATTAATTAATTGGTCGCAAATAAATTCATCTTTAATGACCATGATTGTATGGTCGCAAAAGAAGTCACTTTTGCGTCCAACCGATTAACTGGTCGCTAATACTTTTAGTAGCCACCCTATTGTGACCACGAGTGACCAAGCTTAATTTGCTCGCTATACGTTTTAGCGACCATTTTTTTGCTTTTAGCGACCATAAAAAGTCGTCCCTAAAGGCATAATAAATTATGAATAATAAATTAATTAATATAAATTATAAATTAATTAATTAATATATTATTTCAGTAAAGACCCATAATTTATTAAGTAAAGACCCATAATTAATTAATTATTTCAGTAAAGACCCATAATTAATTATTTCAGTAAAGACCCATAAATTAATTTATTATTTTAATTAATAAATAAATTAAAACCCATATAATTTATTATTTGCTGATGTTTGGTGTGAAGAGAATGTGAAGGGGAGGGGTTTATTTATAGGGGAGATGAGGCCCTTATTTGCAATATAAAAGACATTGGGGTTCTATTAGCAATTTGGGAGAACATACCTTGGGGGCTTCTTAGCAATATAGAAGAGAAGAGGGGAGTCCTTTGTAATTAATAAACTTAGGGAGTAATTCACTTTCCCCCACACACAACACTAAAACATATAATTCATATAAATTCCATAGGATACCAATTAAACTATAACGAAAACTAAATTCACATTATCTCAATCCTAGATTAATTATTATGGGTTTTCATTAATTAATCCTAAAGGCATATAATAAATTATGGGTCTTTACTGAAATAATAAATTAATTAATTATGGGCCTTTACTGAAATAATGAATTATATGCCTTTAGGATTAATTAATGAATTATATGCCTTTATAATATATTAATTAATTATGGGTCTTTACTGAAATAATAAATTAATTAATATAAATTATATGGGTTTTAATGAATTTTATGTTTGAGGTTTTAATTTTGAGCTTTAGAAGATAAAGTTCTTGATGAACACTACTTGAATTTCAGTTTCGTAGCTTCTGATTGTATTGCATGTCTCATCGGGTAATCCCTAAGATAAAATAATGAAATTTGGTGGTAGTCTAGATCTTTCGGTAAGCTTCGTGTTATGCATAAATTGGATTTGTATTGAGTGAGTTATTAACCTTTTTCTGAATCTGCACAGTTTCAAAGTCATCCACGAATTATGTGTTGAATACTGTTTTATACTAATATTATTGAGTTGATTCCACTTGAATATGATTATAAACTTATGAAAGTGACTTTCCACAAAATTTGGTAGTGTTTAATTAAAGGTATGAATTAATTGGTATTTTTAAAGTTAGTGGATCTGTTCTGAAATTCTGCTTATGTTACTGCACTAAATTGATTATATCTCTTACATAGATAAGTTTCTTAATAAACTGTTTTAACCCTATAAACTAGACTTAGATATAAACATTTGTTCCAAATTTCATCAGGTTTGGATCTACGGTTTAGGAGATATGAATTTCTGAAGTTATAGTGCCTAAACTGCCAGATCTGTTTTGATCAAAGATGTAGATATAGATCACTAATGAATTTTCAGGTTCTCAGCCTCGGAGTTTACTGCATGTTTCACAGATGCCCTGTTCTCATAAAATCACGAAATTTCATGGGTAACTAGATCTTTCTGTCTTCTTTAAATTAATATATTTTAATCATCAATGGATTTCAGGTGATTAAGATATGAATTATTTACTAAACCTGCACAGTTTTTGAGTCAGCTGAGGATTTGCTTTTAAAATCGATGTTTTCCTAGTTTGATTTCCTTGATTCCACTTGGAATATATTTATAACTTATAAAACCAGTTTTCTGCAAAGTCCTACATTGTTTTAACAAAAGGGTGATTTATTGGGTATCTTCAAAGTGGTTGGTTCTGTTTCTGAAAGTGTGACCACACTCCTGCACTGTTTTACTCATTTTTCTTAGTCTACTAGTTATTTTGGAAAACTGTTTTAAAAGAGTTTTGTAGACTCATACAGGAGTGTTGTGTCAAAGTTGCAGAATTTTTGAAGTTATGGTCTAAGAGAAATGTATTTTCAATGTTAAGGTGTCAAAACTGTCCGATTTTCCTAAAAACGAATTTCTTTGAATTAAAGGGGTCCTTTGTGAGCATCATGTAAACTCTTGAGACATGATTTAATATGGTAATGAATATAGATTATAATGTTACATCTAGAGAACCATTATTAGAGTACTTATAAGTAAGATACAAAGACTAGTATATATTTAGAACTATAAGTTGTTCTTGAAACCTTCTATGTCCTAGTACTTCTACTAGATTTGATTTTCTATAATCCTTTGAATAGGTATTATGTGAAATATTGAAATTCATGATGATTATTTGAATAATGTGTTTTACTCTTATGAGGTGTAAGTATGTATATATAAAAGTATATGTATATGTATATCGATAGTTTAGACCTATAATGTTATAGGCGTACTCCCTTCGGGTTGAGGAAACTTATAGCCCATAGTTATAAATTAGAGTATATACGTATATGTATAAGTATATATATACGTATAAGTACCTATGTGTATATACGTGTAAAAGTATATGTGTTTTATTACTAATGTTTGATCTATGTGTGCTTACTATTGTTCCGGAATTCGCTTCCGAATTGTATGGTTTGATTATCAAGTTATGTGATTTAACTCCTTCGAATTATGTGAACGACATACTTGGAATTACTACTGTTTATTTGAATGGTGCATTAAGATCTTCAAATTACATGCGTTCTTCGGGTCATTAATTGGTATCGCACGGTCTAGTATAGAAGAGTCAAAACGGTAACGTTGCTCCGGTGAATAGACACGGGATACGGCGGGCCGGTATCCCAAAACGACAAGTTACTATAGACTGCAGGGTGGGTAGCTCTTACCAAAGACCGGGCTCAGTATAAAAATGTCTATTGTCGATGCTTACGTTAGGGTTTTGATAGGGATCCTGTCATACACATCTACGCATAAAAAATGATTTTGGAAGAAAAATGATTTTCTTTTAAAAGAAATTCCGTTTTGTTTAAAAAGGGGAACTTCGTTCAAAGAGATTTTATGCCTAAATTGGATTCGCTAGTAAATTATGAATTTATTTACATGAATTATTCCCAGAATGATTTTCAAGTAGTTTTCGAAACAAAACCATACTTTCGTTATAATGCTCTCGATTTGAAGAAAAATATGTTATGTACTTATATGTGTAATTATATGCTTGAATATTTGTGACGTGTTTGTAGAGATAACATAATTAGTTAGAAAGGACATAGACGAATACTTTAGGACTCCCATAGGTCGTGAGTGACACGTTGAGAGAGGCGTGAGTTCGTCAGAATAAGACTAATGTCCTTACTGAGCCACTGTTTGGGCTCATGCTTTTATGCAAATTATCTTTTCAGGTCCTCCAAGCTATGTAGGAGGCCGGCGGAGAGGAGTTCGAGGAATCACGAGCTTTGGTGCCTAGATCATTTCACTCGTATTTTCTACGCAACGTTTTATCAAAAACTAATCACATAGTGTAATTTTATTTTGTACTCTGATTGGAACCCAGTCTATTAAACGGGGGTATCTTAAATAAAGTTTATTTCCTTCCGCTGTCTTACGAGTGTTTTCTAAACCCCGGTAATGTTTTATGTGGATTATTCCGCCACCTCGAGATTATTTTCAAAATCCCGTTCATGTTATGGTACACTCTCTATGAAAAATCTTATTTTCCGATTGTGGGTTAGATTTGAAGTAAAGGGAAATGGTTCTAAAATTTTAAAGTGGTTTTTCTCAAAGTTCAAATTTGTTCCAAAAATTTTTAATAAAGTCCGTATTTCTAAAATATCTTTTAAATCATAGAGGGTGCTACAATACGCACATAAGTAAAAGTACAAAATCATGCACAAAAGTACTCAAGCAAAAGTGCATTCGCAAAAAGGTTCATGAAAACACAAACTACAATCCTAGGACATTAATACAAATCAACAAACATGCACAAACACACTCGCTCAAATGGACATGCACAAACGCACATGTAAAAAAACATGCGCAAAAGTGCATTCGCAACAACGTTCTAAAAAACACGAAATACAACACTAGGACTTTAATACGCATAACCAAACAACAGCAAGAACACTAGATACAAAAGATACAGTGGGGTGTAGAAATAACACTCAACGTTTACGTTTACGTGGATTTTTATATGGATTAATTTATATTTCTGTTTTAATTGGTGGATTTAGTATTCTA